CAACCCACACCCCAACGTTCCCCCCCCCCTCCCCCAATCGTCTTCTTCCTCAACCTTCATCCTAGTTTTGTCTACTCCCCTCATATTTCATCTTTCCAACCAACCCCCATGAATAAGAAGAAAAAGAAAAAGAAGAAGAAAAGAGGAGCTATTTGGTCTTGTAAAAATCACCATTATTGACCTTTTGAAAAAGCTTGAAAATTTAATTGGGTCTTGTTGGTTTTGGTGTTCCATGACCTAGAAAATTGTTTAAATTCGTAATTATTGTTGAATAAAAATTTACTTAGGTGATTAATTTTGATAAAATTCAAAAAACACCATTAACAAGTTTGAAGCTTTGGGTTTGAGCTTGAATTTGAAATTTGTATAAGGATTTGTGATGGATGTTGTTAAAACTTGTTAAAAATCGGGCAAAGAGTTGAATCTCATCTTAGCCCTCCAATTCCGCATCTGCGGCTCTTATCTTAGCCCTCCAATTCCGCATCAGCAGCTTCCCTACTGCATCTACGACCTTGCACCTGCGGTCCCCAATCCGCAGGTGCGGAAACATCAGAAGCAGCAACTTCAGTTGCACAATTCCATTTTCAATTCCTCCGTTAATCATCCGAATTCATCCCGAGGCCCTCGGGACCTCCACCAAAAATGCCAACAAGTCATATATCAACATACAAACTTAGTCGAACCTTCGGAATATTCAAAAAACAACATCAAAACACCGAATTACCCTTGAATTCAAGCCTAAGAACTTCTAAACTTCCGAATTTCCGCAAACGATGCTGAAACCTATCAAACCTCGTCCGAACGACCTAAAATTTTGCACACACGTCACAATTATACTATGGACCTACTCCAACTTTCGAAATTCCATTCCGACCCTGATATCAATATTTCCACTACCAACCGAGAATCGCCAAAATTCCAATTTCGCCAATTCAAACCTAATTCTACCACGGACCTCAAAATTACATTCCGGACGCGCTCCCAAGTCTAAAATCACCTAACGGAGCTAACCGAACCATCAGAATTCCCATCCGAGGTCGCTTACCCATAAGTCAACATCTGGTTGACTTTTCCAACTTAAACTTCTAAATAGGAGACTAAGCGTCTCATTTCACACCAAAACCATTCCGAACCTGAACCAACCAACACGATACCATGAAATACAGCTGAGGAACACATAAAGAAGCAGAAATGGGGAAAACGGAGCTACAATTCACGAAACGACCGGCCGGGTCGTTACAATTTATTGTACTGTAGTTTATAAATATTTCTTAAGCTTTTTCATAATTTTATCTTTTAACGTATTATTTCAAACTTGGACTTACAAAATTTGAATGCTCCAATAAATTTTATAGTCCATAAATGTTAGTAACTCAAATAAATCTTAAACCAAAATCAAATCAATACTAATGCTAATAAAAGATATTCAATTCAATATTACTATGAATGAAAATAGTGTTGGATATATCTATTTTTTAGTTTTTTCATGGTTTAAATAAAATGTATAACTTATTTTTCTTTTAGCGGTTAGTCATGCAAAAAATAGTACTTATTAGTCGTAATTTTAAATTATGTTTGTTTTCATTATGTCTTATTAATAATAATTATTTTATGCGATTTTATTATCTTTAATTTGTTGTTGAATATTTAGTACAGTGCCATGATTCATCTCATATTTATGTTATTTTATTGAAAAATACCTTATATAATTCCGTCTCACTAGGATTAAAGAAATATTTGGAGCACAAATTTTACGTTTTATGTAATGAAGACTTTATGAAGAAAAAAAATTGAAAAAATCCGAAAACCCGAGATTTAAAAACCCGACTTTTATTAGTTTGGTTTGGTAGTTAGATTTAACAATCCGACGCAACTGGTTTGGTTTGGTAATTAGAAAATCCGAACCAACCCGACCTATGTACACCCCTAGTTGGTAGTCAGGGGTAGAGGTAGAGTACTACTTACTGGTTCGAACGAACCCAGTAACTTTTGCTTAGACTTTATATTTGTATTAAAAAATTTATT